CTAGAATCGTTGGCTATGGTGACACTTGAGAAGGAAGCCGAAGGAGGAAGTTTAGGGTTGAAAGTCGATGTAGGAGGAATAATAGGAATTGAAGAGGAAGGTTGATTATGAATACAATGGTCTTGGGTGCTGTTAGAGGTATGAGGGCGGTTATCCCTTCCCGGTTGCCCACACCGTGGAAGGGTTCTTCTGGAGGTACTTGAAAAGGAAATTGGATTAGAGGCGGTCTCAGTGACCTGAGAGCGTGACCGCAGTGCCCAAGGGACAACTGCTTGAGGCCGGTCGCGCACGGCCTTTTTGTTGAAGGTTTTTGACGTGTTAGCCCCGTTCTTCAAAGGGCCTTACGCCGGAGACGGAAATCCGTGAGGTAAGGTGAGGTGCGCATTTTTAGGGTCGACCTTTTCTAACCCCACGCCTCGATGTGGGAAGGCAGCATCGCTGTTATGCTGGTTGTCCGAGGGAAACACCTTACAGCTGTCACACCTCTGTACAGTCAGCAGTACGACTTCGCCTTCGGACCTTGGGTTTGTTGCTTTTAGTCTTACCGCTCTTCAACCGACCTGTCTGACATGGTAGGACCTTGAGGAACGGTTGTTCCAGCCAGTATAGCTCGGTTGCTTCATCACGATAGGCAAGCCCGACCACCACGTCAAGGTAGCAACAACGGTCGGGAATTAATTGAAAGTATTTATTCTTATTCTACCTATCATTCTCTTACTTACATACACTATTAATTAGAATGGCGATAAATATAAACTCACGCAATTCTACTCAAAAATTGTGTAACCAACTTACGACTTTTGTTTTCATAATATATTATCTAAGTATAAAAATGTTCTATGTTGTCCTGACTACTGTTGAAATTGATTTCGACAAATTAGACCAAATAAATTCTTCCTTACAATCAAGATTATCTTATTGTTTTTATTATTACTATAGAACATGGTAACTAAATCTCTGTCAGTTCTCTCTAGTATCTATGATAAAAGTGGTCAATGTACAATATTCCTATTAGTAGGTTGAAGCTTAAAGTCCACAAGAAATCAATAGACTAGTTGTTTTGACAAATATCCATAGAGTAATTTGAATGTTCATCATTATTATTTTACACTGATGCATTACATGTTAAATAACTTTAGTTAAAAGTTCTATATTATGATGAAATATTGATCTTATGAAAGTTGTGTTTCATTTGTTCAACTTAAGAACAGATTTTTCCCATGTACATTCAAAATTTTCCCACGCCTAGTATGAGGTATTAACTGTTATATTGGGAATAGTTAGAAATATGTTATACAATTATACTATAGAACAAGTTATTAATAAAGTACCCTTTAACTTATAAAAAGTTGTTAGTTCCATCCTTCATCTAGAACAAAAGATCTAATACAACTACGTACTGATACAAGTTACTAATCTCCATATCTATATTATTGCTAATTTGACTTAAAATGATTGAAAACCACGTAGTTCTATCACTTAGTTTTCATTTCAATTGTTGGCAGTTATTGTGAACTTAGCTTTTATTTAGGTTATCTTATGTTGGTAAATAATCTAAGAGATATTCTTCTTTTAATCATATAGATAGGCGCTTTCAACGCTACAGAACATTTTACACGAAATGAAGTTTGTTCATATTTAGCCTATATTTTATAATAATAGTAAAAATAGACTGATGAATTACAGTTGTAAACATAATGGGACGATTTAGAGAGCAACTAACATAAAGGAATTAGATTTCTCCCCATTGCAAAAGTCAGTTGGCTATCTGAACTGATTAGCTAAGTAGACAACGTGATGGTGTTTGAAGCGAATGGTTCTAATCTCGGGGTGAACATTAACTGTGGGATGCAGGTAAATCTAGTTGGTGAGTCCCGAATAGGACGTAACACGCTTTCTGGATTTCACTCCTGGTTACTATCCATCCCTGTTTAAAAATGCTTATGAATTGCTGACATTATCAAAGCAATCCTCACAGAGTGGACACTTATCAACTGTAGTTGTAAACATCAAAAAGTGACCAACGATATTATCCGCTTGTTCAATGCAATGCAGGCAAAATGAGCCTTAGTTTTAAGACTGACTAACTTTCCGGAAGTTGGACGCCTTAACTACTATGTCACTTTCATACTCATAGTTCATCCTAAAGAGAGCAAGAACAAAGATTCCTTGTTTTGAAATTTATTCTGCCATGGATATCACTAAATCTTTATTTCCGAATTTTTATTATTTCTATTCATAATTCGTATAAATATAGCTTGTTATACCATTGTCAAGCTTCCTTGAACCAGTTGAATCGAACTCATCCGTGATTCGTGTTTATGCGGCTGCAATTCTATCTGGTACAGTCCAAATAACTCGTCAACCTTTATTGTTCTTGATAACTGTACATCATTTGAATCGATGAGTTTGTATTTATCAAAACACAAAATTCCCTATGAATGCAACATCACTTTCCTAATATCAGATGTATGGAAGATAGACATTGTTAGGAACCTACCCTTGAAAATATTATTTTTCTGCTTATTGTCAAAAGTTTGTGATAAACCTGATAATTAAGTGCGAACATGAGAGACTTAGTGATCTTGACCAACTCTGGACTCAGTCCGAACAATCAGAAAACTGTAATTATGAAAATATGATTTACAGTGCTAGGATTAGCATGGCTCAATATCGAGAACATTGGCGTCGTTGTATACATACTTTGTCCTCCCTTAAACTATGAGATTAAAATCGCTTCATATTTTTCTTTCTATGAACTAATTCTTTCCTCGCGTACTATGTTATTATACGCACTCAGTCTTTTACATATTACCACCACTGAATTAACTACTTCTATGAGTCCGGTGTTCATCTTGCTGTGCTGATTAGGTATGGCAACTTGAAACGATGCACATATGTGCCTGGTCCTACGTTGTAGCTGACTGACTGATTAGCATTTACGCTTTACCATTTCTGCACGTGTATCTCAATCGTGTAATTAGACGCTGTGTTACTTTGAATATCTATCTTTATATCCATTGGATTGTCATATCACATACGTAATCCGACTTAGAATAAATAACGAACAGTTTTGAATATATCTTTAGACAGCCAGTCATAATCAATGTAGAATCCAAGAACGTATATACGTTTATCTAAGTTCTCACATATTAACGTTTAATTGCAAAGGAATTAAAATAATATAGCAGCTACCATTCTAAGAAAGATTAAACAATCCGGATATTATTCGAAAATACAGGTGCACAATCTTTACTTTATAGCGCACGATGAAAAAAGGAATGAATCTGTGCCACAGTCAGTCAGTCAATCAGTCACAACGTAGAACTTCGTACGTACGTACATCAGTTCGAGTTGCCACACCACATTAGCACAGAGATGCAGTTGTCAATTCAAATCCCGTAGTGCTAAAGTTAGTCAAAGTACAAGCAGTAATCGGAAACATTAGGCTTTGAAGATGTTATTCAAGAAGTATAATACAGTGAGATAAATTTGGAAAGAGAAAGAAAGTAACATGAAGAATTCAGAAGATTAGAATTTGGGAGAACATAAAGAGTGGATGCACCTGTGCCATTGCAAACGATTTTGAGCCATGTCATTTAGGGTCTCTAGCCATCGGTTGCTAAAATCTCGCGGTCCCCAATCAGGTAGTCTACACCCACCAATATGAGACTGTTCCACTTTGACTCATTATAACACATGTCACCACTCAACGTTTAACTTGATAATGTAATTACTGTAAAGGATTGAATTTTATCAAAAGAGAGTTACATAAATAAGTGATAATAACCTAACTCAGTTTTATTATTCTTTTATTCTTTAACTATCTGATTTCTTCATTCCAGCTATTTATACAATAAAGATAATCGGGATAGTGAATTTACTCAACAATTTGTACGTTTATGTCAATTATTACCTCAAATGACAAATGTCGAACCAACATCATCATCGTCGTCGTCGTTGTCGTCGTCTATGCAAGCAATCGTTAATAAGACTGATATTCTAAATTTACTATGATTTCTTAAACAAACTAATAAACAATGGTTACAACAAACGAAATCCATCGAATTGAATACAAATTTACATGTTGGTCTACATGATTCATTAGTTCATTTAATTCATAATAATGATGATAATAATGATTATGCCGACATAACTAGTGCAACAACATTTAATGAAGCTATTTTCAAAGCATCTATTGAATGGCACAATAGTGATACACTACCTAAGCATCGTCAACTTTATTGGATTGAATTATTTGAAAGAGTATGAGGAAGGCAGTAAAGGAGAATCAATTTAATGGAGAAAATAAAGTTTAACTAAAATCATACATCTAAAGATACTACTTATTTACTTATTATCAAATGGACATACTATGATATTTACAAACATGTAAATAACATTTAATGCTGTATTCTATTTATCATAGTTCTTGTTTCTATAAAAAGATTATGAAAAGATTCATTTCACTAGCTAAGCGTACAATTACAATTGTGTTCAAACAATGAAGGCACAAGTAATTTATTACACTGAACTAAGTATTTTTCACTGGTAATAAACAAGTCACTTGGTGATGGAAAAGATCTCCAGTATTAATGGATGTTTCACATATATAAATGTGATACGATGAAATTATCTTATGAATAAAAGAAAACTGGTTTGTAGAATTCTAAATGTAGCAGAATATTTTAGGGACTATCTGTGCTTTGTGTAGTAACCAAGGTCATAATATATATCTAGTTTTCAAGTAATGATCGATCAAGTTGAAATTTAGCCATTTGTCTTTACTGACTTATGTTGTGTGTACTGTGTTTTTGCGTATCGATTGCTTAGAGTTATCCGGCAAGTGTTGATTTGTAGGGCTGGCCTTTTTCTCATTGTTTGGATTGGTCAGCAAGACGTATGTGTAATTTTAAGGGAACTGATGTCGACTAGAAGCTTAAAAATAAGGATAATATGTGTAAGGAATCAGAAGCGCTTTTGATCAAAGTTGAGAAGGAATGATAAAAAGTAAGTCTCACGATCCTTCATATACTGACCATATGAATATTCTACTAACGAAAACTGGGGAGTGAATAGCGACAGGTTCATAAAGTGGAAAGGTAGTGTTATAATTAAGCTTGTAGAGGCAAATTTCCTCTATATCTGACTCCAATTGCTAGTATCCCGTTAACTGAATATTTAGTGAAGGTAAATCTCCTAGTAGAATTATGGATTTACTCGAGATTATTCTAAAGCTTGAACACCAGTTATCGAGATAATTTATTGTTAAAGATTGGTAAAATCCGCAAGCGCACAGGAAGCAAGCACACAGGGTGAACAAGAGTGTATATGTGTTACAATTCCGTATATACTTACGAGTGTTAATCAAGTATGGATAAATTATTGATTGTCTGTGTATTTCAATCAATGGGAGAATGAATTAAAAATTGATATGTGCTCAATCATACTCACACAGAAAATTACTTAGTGGATTACCGTGAGAAGGTAAATAATACAGCAGTTGAATGGGCTTAATACAAGCTGAACACTGAGATAATTAGTAATCGGTCAAGAGATGGCTTTCATTTCCAAGGGATTAAAAATTCACCACTGATAGATTTAAGTTCCGAAGGGATATTTATATCTAAGTGAGTACATACTCGGCGAGACTCTAATTTATGGAAGACCTCTGAACCAATCTGAAGTGACTTTGGGAAATATTTTCCAATCAGCAAACAGTTAGTATAGAGTAAAAATATGTTATACAAAATCAAGGAAATAAAGTGGATACATTTCAAAACTTATCAAGGTTGGAAAGTGGTTCTAAAATCGTAATGCATGCAGTAGAGGAAATCGTCCATATGGCTACAGAACAGTCGGCCTCTTGAGCCATGATAAAGTCTCGAAAACTCTTTCAGCCTCAACCACATATTGTTTATGTGCACCTCGGTTGTTGAGTACACAAAATGCTACTTGTGGATAACGACACGATGAACATAACCAAGCCTATGTAGGAGTCTGTAACGCGCGCTTTTCGAACGGGAAGTTTAGTCCTAACGTGATTTGCATATATCAAACTTTTGCTGTGTTCTTACGCATCAAAAGTACCATTTCAGTTCTAAAGAATCTATCCTGAGCTATACGTTCGGTAGATTACTTTTTTTTTGAGTTTCACTATATTTAATAGTTACCTGTGGTTTTGCCTCAGCTTACTATTCGGTTTTTTTTGTTTTTCACGTATAGACTAGTTTCAGTTTATATCACTCGTTTTGTCCATTTTTGTCCGTTTTCAGTGTGCATTTTAGTGTTTTTTTAAAAAGGTCTTAAGCTTTTGCAAGCATCTATAACATAGTTTGCTTCAACACCGTCATGAGAAACTCATGCAAACGTCCGGGATGCCGTTTTGCTGTCACAACTGGCATGCAGTGCGACAACTGCAAAGGTTGGTTCCACGAAGCATGCACAAATCTGACAGCAACTGCTTACAACAGACTCAGCAAGTCAGACCAAAAGTGGGTATGTGTCACGTGCAACACGGACGCAGTAGTCTTGCTGAGTAACATCATTGTCCTACTGACAGGTCTTCGGAATAAGCTGTCAGTTAACTTGGAACACGACAGTAAAAAAACCGATATACAAACAAGAGCGCGCAACGGACTCAAAAATAGGGATGTCGATAGGTATACCATCGATGGAGCATCCATCAACACTAATGACGACGTGTCGAGGCTCAGTACCATCATTACGTCGACGGTACTAGACTCCCTAGGCAAACTCGGGTCTCCCAGCTCAGGGTCCCTGAACACAACAGTGGTTCCCAAAAGCCCTGCAGGTGATTCGACCCACGTTAAGAGAGCCCAAAAGAACCAGGCATCACCGCCTAAGCCGAGCAACCCAAGTGTTGCTGCACGGAAAATAACTGGTGATTTAATCGCACAGTCTACCCCCAAGACTGTTCGTCCGGTCAATAAAGAGCCCAAGATTCATAAACGCACACTGACCTCCAAACAACAAGTTATTAAACGTGAACCCATCGTGAAACCTGGTAAATTAACAACAGTTCGTGACGATTCTCTCATTATCATGAACCTCGTCGACAATCCTGACCTTCCTCTCAGTCTGCAGGATAAAAACGACAAGATGCTGTGGGATGAATTGAACAAGAAGCTCGAACTTCCTAGAATAGAGCCTTTGATGGTCACCCGGCTCACTCGAGGAAAGGATTCTAAGCATCTAAATCACCCGAGGCTTCTCCGAGTAACACTTAAGGATGCTACCGACGTAGAGGACGTCTTGCTAGCAAGTCACTTACTGAAATCAGATGGTAACGTAAGAATATTGCCCGACATACCGTACTCTGAGCGCAATATCATACGAAACGTCCCTAAAGAATCTCGCGAGAAGTTCTTCCGCGGAAGAAACATAATTGTCCAAGGTATACCGGAAAATTCAGACCCTACTCAATCAAATTCTGACATCAGGGAATGGAAATTCATCAAACAGTCCTTGAGGCTCAAACACATACTGACTCAGCATGTGACGAGACTAGCCAAGAAGGACGGTGATCTTAGACCCCGTCTAATGAAGATAACCTTCCCATCTTCCCACATGGCGGCTGCAGTTCTGGAAGCATTTCGTGCTAATAGACGTCGATTGCCACCTGGAATCCACATGCACCCGGATAGGCCATACGAAGTCAGGACCAAGAACAAAGGCAAGTTGGAGCTGACCACTCCACTTGTGGACTGTCTAAACGATAAAAAAACGTGTAAAGGACAGGGCCTACCACCTCGGCAAACCTCATATAGGTGGGCTACCTGTCCATTCACATAAGGTTCATACAGAAAAACAGGACGAAGCTCACGCGTTCCAAATTGAAAGCATAAACTGCTTATATATGAACGCCGCGAGTTTACCAAACAAACTGGATGAACTACGTGAACTTAGCAACGCTAACAAGGCCCATCTGATAGGAATATCTGAAACCTGGATATCTTCTCAGTTCTCGGATCAAGAGTTAGCATTACCTGGGATGACTTTGTTCCGCAACGACAGAAAAATAGGAATTGGGGGCGGAGTAGCCATATACATAAGCTCTTGCTTGGAGGTGCACCAGGCTCACAACCTCGAGTTTAACAATCTTGAGGAATCCATATGGTGCTCTGTAAGGTTGTCTAGTACTTCCAGGTGTCTAGTCGGAGTCATTTACAGGAAGCCAACTGCCGACACCGAGTACGATAGTCGTATGCTGGAAGGACTATCCCGCTCTATCCGTCTCGGTTTCACACACATCCTGATTCTAGGGGACTTTAATCTCCCTAGAGTCAACTTCGCGGAACACACGTACACTGGAGGCGACAACTCAACTGAAGCTCGGTTCTTCAACCTCATCGATAACTTGGGCTTATATGAAAATGTGAGGTCGGCAACTCGTTGGAGAAACAGTCAGACACCATCGCGCTTAGACTGTGTATTCACTAACGAAGAATTCCTAGTCGACAACCTCTCAATCCTGGCTCCTTTGGGAAAAAGCGATCATGCCGTCATAGCCTTCAGTTTTGTCATCAAAACTAAGCTAAGGTATCCCAACAATAATTTGCGTTGGAATTTTAAACGGCTGAATGTGCCAGCTCTACATGACCATCTACAACAGGTGGTTTGGGATGTTCACCCTCAAATCGATGTGGATGGTCATTGGGACTTCTTACTGCACACGCTCTTATGTGCTACAGACCATTCAGTTCCTCAAACGGTTCCCAAAAGTTTCAAGCCACCTACAGTAATCAAGAACCGTACCCTTCGCCTCCTAAGCCGCAAACGGCACTGTTGGGCGGAATACAAACGAACTAATAACGATGGAGCGTATAGGCAATACAAACATATCAGGAACACATGCACGAAGGCTATAAGAGAAGACAGGCTTCAGTACCAAACAAAGCTTATGGACAAATTCGCCTCTAACCCTAGAAGCCCATTCCGTTATGCAGCCTCTCTTCGTCAAGCCAAAACAGGAGTTTCTCAACTGCTAGGTCTTGACGGCCCGACCAACAACGATGGCGACGCCGCTAACCTTCTGGCGGCCCATTACTCTCAAACATTTCAACCGGCTGACATCAACTTTATTGACGACAGTTTCATCTGCAATTCCACAGGACTTTCTGAAGTGGACCTAAGCGCTGACTTGGTGTTCCGGAAACTGCAGCACTTAAGACTTGACACTTCTCCTGGCCCGGATATGGTTCATCCTGCCATACTAAGGGAGGCAGCCTCAATCCTGGCAACGCCGCTTAGCGTGATGTTTTCACACTCGCTTAGCCGAGGCAAATTACCGGAAAACTGGAAGTTGGCTCACATCACACCAATTTTCAAAGGTGGTCGACGCAATGAACCTTCAAGTTATCGGCCGGTAGCTCTTCTGTCGTTACCTTCAAAATTCATGGAGTCCCTGATATGCGACGGTTTAAATGACTATCTACTGTCCTTAAATTTCTTCTCACCCCAACAGCATGGTTTCAGGAAGGGTTACTCTTGTATAACCAACCTGCTGACTGCGGTGGACAGATGGACAAGCATCCTCGATCGCAAGGGAAAGGTTGATGTCATTTACCTTGATTTCTCAAAAGCTTTTGATAAGGTTAACCACTTGTGTCTTATCAACAAGCTCAAACGACTAGGTATCAAACCACCTCTAATCGACTGGCTTACTTCATACCTAAAAAATCGACACTTTAAGGTTAGGGTTAATTTCACTTTATCTCAAGCTATGGAATGTCCTAGTGGGGTCCCCCAGGGCTCAGTACTAAGGCCTCTTCTCTTCTTGATCTACATAAATGATCTTCCTCAACAGGTAACGTCAGACTTATTACTTTTGCCGACGACGTGAAACTTTGGAGAGAGATACGCAACCAAGACGATACACAGGCACTTCAGGAGGATCTGACGCGACTTCAAAGTTGGGCAGACGATAACGGACTTACCTTTAACACTTCAAAGTGTAAAGTAGTCCATCTGCGACATGTCGCAAACTACAGTTACAACTTAGGAAACTCCTCTCTAGTAGTATCCCAAGTCGAAAAAGATTTAGGAGTCCTGGTGCCCCATGACTTAAAGTCTTACGCTAACCGTGACAAAAATGCCTTCCGAGCAAACCTTGCACTGGTAACGTTGAGGCGCACTTTTGGCCAGTTTGACGGAAGAACTTTCCACACAATCTTCAATAGTTTCATCCGTCCCCATTTAGAGTACGGAAACATAGTACTCCCCCCCCCTCACTCCAAAAGGACAAGGTCACTTTGGAGCGTATCCAACGGCGAGCCACGAAATCAGTTCGAGGACTCAAATCTAAGCCTTACGAAGAACGCCTCCGTTCACTAGACCTTTACCCACTAGAATACAGGCGTCTTAGAGGTGATTTATTAATGGCTTATAGTATTCTTAACACTTCTGGACATCCTCTTAAACACCTACTTAAGCTTAGTTCGAATAATAACCTAAGGGGTAACACCCAGAAACTGGAAACACAACATAGCAAGACGGAATGTAGACACAACTTCTACTCCTTAAGAGTTGTCAAAAGCTGGAACTCGCTGCCGGCCGAGCTAGTCCAAGCGACTTCTCAGGAGTCCTTCAAGAGGCAACTTGACCTATTCTTAAGGACCAAGGACAGCATCACACTATGATTTACCAATTTCTTTTCCTCTTTTATTGTTAACATACCTAGGTTCCTGCCTGGAGGATTTGGTGATCCCCTGCTACTAGACACGGAAGCCTGTTAACCGAAAGCTTCTTCTATTCCGTCCACAACCATTTGAACCATTTGAACCACTCTCCAAACATCCGGATATATTGTAGTACCTGGCTGCAGACAGTGTTACTGGTGCTTTTATTATCCAGTTCGCAATATTTGTCGTAATTCGCCGTAGTGAGGAATTATATATGGGGTTTTCATCACTAACTGACATCAGCTATAATGCCAGAAATTCATTTAGCCAAATGGAAGACAGGCTTTCGCGTTAACATCCTAGATCTATTATCTTATACCTGATTGATTCGTCCACAAATTATAGTCCCGTCGTTTTATTTGTTATAGCCGCTCAATTATCATGTTTTGTACAAAATTCCCTGTGAACCGACCGTACGTTAGCACAAAGCACTAAAGTTTGCGCCGTCACCTTGAAATCTCTAACAGGCATCTGATTGGCTCGTCTGTGAATTAGAGTCTCGCCACATACATATTTACTCAAATAAACTTAGTTTCCTACCTTCCGTCCTTCCTCCTAAGTAGTCGAGATCATATACAAAAGTGTGTCAGCATCAAACGGTGTGACAGTAGGCTTCACAACATGCACTAACTGCTTAAAAAGATATATGATACGAATAGGCTAAACAAACGGGTTTTCTAAGCTGTCCAGTCGCTGATCATTTTGGATGTAATGGTATCATTTCAAGAGAAACTGTGAGAAAATGACTTCAAATGTTGTTATACGTTGCTGAAACTAAATTTATTCATTCGATAAGATACTGTACAGTTGTCGATATTACTTTGGTCCGGTTACCTCAGTTTTTAATACGCATGCTTTCAGTTATATTAACCTCTTTCCCCGTGTTTCATTATTATCTGACCTCCATTTATCCAAACAGTCTATTTTCATTGTAGTTCATATTCCTCAATATAAACCTGTTCCCATGACATTCTGTTTTTTTCTTTAAAATTCATATAACTAATCTGTCAATACTCAACCATATAAACTACTTCATGTTCTCTGATATAAACTATATACAAGTAACCGCTAAGCTACTAGTATTTGACCACAGATGCCTTAGACATATTGCTCACATCTGCTGGGATCACCGGGTAAGTATCTTTCTTTCTACGAACAAATTCTTTCTTCTCGTACTATGTCATTATACGCACTCTTCCTCTTATATATTACCACTATTAACATAACCACTACTATGAATCCAGTGTTCATCTTGCTGTGCTAATGTGATATGGCAACCTGGAACGATGCATATATGTGTATGGTCCTACGTTGTAGCTCACTGACTGACTAAACCCCTAATATATTTTGAAAACTATCGTTTCTAGGTTATAAGCAAAATTATTCTCAGCGAATGAAATCAAAATAATTTCAATGTTTCATCCAGAAAACGTATCTGAACTTCTTCAGTGTAATACAATCAAAAATTATCACAGAAAATTGTTTTCTCTATAGTCGCAGCCTAATTTCTGGCAAACCATTCGTTCAAATATCAACGGATATTTGCATAAATTGTCTAGATCCTTAATACAACTGGATACGTCTATCTCCATTCAATAGCCAATTGATCTTCCTATTTCTTTTTATCTGACATATTTAAATCAACAAAACGAATAATTTCTGTTCTATGATTTATTTATAATTCGCAACCCGTAAATAATAATTACAAAATGTTCAAGTTTTACAAGTAGAGACCCGTTCTTAAACGGAGCCACAAGAAACGTGAGAACAAGTAAAAACTGATAATTATAATTTATTATTATTATAGTAAAGAGATAAGATCTGTACAAACGAAATCAAATCATTGTGTATTTCTGAAGAAAGATATGAGGATGATTATGAAGAGGATTTAGATGGTGATGTTGATTAAGAAGATGATGATTTAGATGATGATGATGTTTTAGATCATGGTGATGATGATTTAAATGGTGATGATGATGATGTTTTAGATGATTATGATGATATAGATGATGGTGATGATGATTTAGATGGTGACGATGATGATGCTGATGAATATGATGATGACGATGATGATGATGATGTTGATGACGAAGATGATGATGGTGATGATGATCATGATGATGATGATGATGATTTAGATGGTGATGATGATTTAGATGGTGATGATGATGATGACGACGATGATTTAGATGATGGTGATGATGATGATGATGATGATGATGATGATGATGATGATGATGATGATGATGATGATGATGATGATGATGATGATGATGATGATGATGATGATGATGATGATGATGATGATGATGATGATGATGATGATGATGATGATGATGATGATGATGATGATGATGATGATGATGATGATTTAGATGGTGATGATGATGATTATGATGATGACGATGGTGATGATGATTTAGATGGTGATGATGATGATGATGATGATTTAGATGTTTGAGATGATGATGATGATCCATGCTACCACACTTAAGTAAGGAAATTCATTTATAAGATGAGAGAGAGAATGAAATGGAAATAATATCAACTAAGACATACAGCTGATCATGGAAAAATATACTTACCGTGAAACAAATTTATACATTCGTCTACGGATGATAACAAGTGTAGCTACACATTTGTAGATGGAGATTATACTTGAAAAGGTCAACTATACAAGTAAATTGATGCGTTTACATTTACACAGGATGATGAAATACATTGAAGCCGAAGATAACTATTTCTCAGTGAGCCTTAGAAGATATGCATCTCAACTCTAAAGCTTTTCAGTAACTGATCTTTAGAAACAAATCACGGTCTGAATTAAAACCTTTCCCATTACTTACTCGATAGCCACCAGTCCCCGAAACGTTGAAACCATGAGCTTCGTTGACATATGATTCATTTGACTGTTTGTTAGTTTTGGCAGCTTGGAATTCTCTTAGCTATTAAAAAAGATGTATAGGAAAGAATGTGATGTATGGCGAAAAATCACTTCATAATATTAGTATATGTGTAGTTCATCTACCACGTAAAACTGAGAAGATGATGTCAAGTTGAAATTGTAATTGTTCGAGGTTCACAATTAAAAACTATGTCTCGGAAAGCAGATGTATCATGCATGTGTGAGCAGTGGAAGCTTGATAATAGTTCTCAAGAAATCTAAACACGATGATGTATCAATTCCACGAAACCCTCATTGGCATATTTACGTTATACAAATCTTATATCTGATATGAAATAAACCGAAAATACCCGTCACGTTCAATTAGCAGAATTTATGCTTTCCGCCCACGTTAACTTTGAAATTTAATACAATGTCATATATTAGAGTGAGAAAAGTCTGTGTCTAAACCACTTTTATTTTAAGCAAGAAAACAAAACACAGTATGGCTTTGTTAGTACTATAAATAGAAAGCACTGTTCAGAGAAACGTGAGTTTCCGCTATGCACGACATGAGACCACCAGAAACAACGAATTACAAAGCTAGTTTAATTCCATTTAAATGATAGTAAGGCTTAGTGACACAACTGCAATTTATTCCGACGTTTTGAACAGGCGTGTCGAAAGATGAGAGTTATAGACCTAACTTCTGGCAGCAGGTTTTTGAAACTACCACATAGAACGTGAAGTGCACTGTATAACAGTGGATCATATTGTAGAACGTCCTTCGTAATTGGGAAATGTGTAAAGTTGTTAGTGTTTGACCATAGACCGACGTATCTCACGTAAAGAAAAATGACTGAGTATATAACGATCTTAAAGGCAAATTATTATATTGAGCTGAAAAACCGATAAACAGGGTCGCAAATACCTAACAATTGGAAAATGACAGATAGAAAAAACCGTCCTTTCCAAAATCCGTAACTTTATGCATTACCTGATTTCAGCCACCACCTTATTACAATGTAATGTCGACTGACACAGATGATCACGAAAAAACCACAGGATAAGTATTTTAGCGGATTTATGATGACACTATACACTTTTTGATATTCCTTCGACGACTTGGTTACAAACACATTAGCGATCTATACCCGAACAATAAACACAAATACCCAGTATCGAAAGTGCCTGGACCCCCACATACCACAGGAAAACTGCTCCTTAAGTTTGAACAGATGATCTCACGAATTTTTCTCAGACCGAACACGTACTCCAATTAAATATTTGCGTAGAGATTTCGAAATGTCAAAACCAACTAACAAAATAAAGGTATTCTGCAATAGTATGGTCATATGTCAGTAAACACACCTTGTTCTTAGCAGCCGCTATTTTCTCTGCTCTACTTAGTTCCGACATCTTACTTCTGCCAGGGTGACGTGTTAAATGAGCTTGGCTACCTTCCATGACCTTGGCTGCTAGGCTACTTTCAAGATGTTTTTACAGCATATAAACACCATAAAAGAGCTACACTCAAACTGAGGTTGTACAACAGATTATGAGCTTATACATCTTACAAAATTACACAAAAAATAACAAGAAGACATCTTCTTTGTAACGATTAACAGATAGAGATGAGAACATTTTATTTATTATTTGTATATAGATGACATTAAGTGACTCTTAAAAGAGAGTGTCTTTGTACACATTCAAGGTTGCATTTTAGTTTCAACTCGAGTATACCGAAGTTTGCAAACTTGAACTGTGTTTTTGTATGCATTGTTTGGTTGAAGTCATCATGTACTTACTCAACTGCTACATCCCAGTGGTCGACCTGAACAAATGGTGATCAGTGAATGCAGAACGTGTGCATTCCCAAATACGCTCTGCTTGATTACAAAAGGGTTGACTGTTACGATCAATGAATCCGAGTACAGGAATGACTTTTGGGTAATCCGTCTCTCCAAAAGTTTATGAATATTTATGCTTCGAACTGTCCTCTTGAAGACGCCGCAGCCATTTCTAGTTTGATGACACTTCGACCAGTAACACCTTCCATAAATGAATCGTGCTCACCCAGTGATACCAAAAGTCAGAAGCAAGGAGATTCGAAAATATATTTGATAGGCTATCAATATATCGAGAAACGACTGATCTAAACTGACTAGCGATTGCAAAAGTTCCTACTCGTGATCTGGTGCAGATGCATGACCGAGTGCCTTCAGCTAATTGAGCTCAATAAATCTAATGTATTCAGCACACAGTGCCGAATACCTACAGAGCTATTGTGTTTGGAGATTTATTTACCGATACATTAATTGCACAGCGATTACTGTTGTCTAATAAAGATCGGAAAGTACAGCAGGTTCATGTCGCTTACCTTGCGTTCAATCATTAACAAATTTGACGAAACGAGTAATGAATGTTTTAAGATCGACATGACGAGAACACATTACGAAGGTATTGTCGAAACAGTGATGATAACTCTTTTCATCCTGTTCGAATCAAGTAAAATTACGAATGAAGATGGCACGTTAGTCGCTTGAATGTGAGTAATTTACATCAAATTTCAATGAACTTAACAGACACTAATTTATATTTTTTTCAAAAAACATATATATGCTGAATTTTGCTTTACTGCACTGCAGCTACCAGGTGATGATGGATAAGACAATGGATGAAGTAAATCAATTAGAACATTACTTTTCACTTTCATCACAAGTGTATTACAGTGACAGAATAATCAAATAAAATTCATAACCTTTTGAAAACTGAATTCTTCGTCGTTTTTGAGACATGTAGATCACTAACGTATATGATCTATATCGAATGATTGAGGGCTCACTCGAGTTCAACGGGAATGGTGCGACGGAGCAACTTGCATCGAAGTCACTCCTCACAGTCAGCACCTAACGTGAATTACATCCTCGACATATCAACGTACTGCTGTGACCGTTTCGCGCCTTAAGGTAACCCTCGTGCTATCGATAGAAGAAACCAGACAAATAGTGAATAGGTCTTTATTTCGATCTTCGCGCAGTCACAGTAGAGCGTGGAGTTATGTATTCAGACAAACAAAGCCTCTCAACATTCAATATAAGATAATAGGGAATATAACACCTATACAAAATAAGGAAGTGAATAAATACTTGAACTATATTGTCCAGGCATATTCTTGGTTGTTTGAGGTCAACTCCTAACCAACCAACCTAGGCTGTTACATTAGCTTCCCCCTAGAATCGACTTCCGTAGGAACGTCGGTTCGATTAACGTATCTATCAAAAACACCTTAGTTCTGTTTTTCCAGCCCAAGCGAAAATTATCAACTCGCTCACTGTTTGACTTCATCAATGACGACTAATTCCGTCAGCAATCAACGATAGTCCGTCGATGTCTCTTCATTTGATATCCTGTCTTCTTATTTATAGCATGTGATTTCTTGTACAACTATTGCTAGCAGTTTACTACGTGCCCTCAAAAAAGTGTGAGAATGTGGGACAAGAATATCTGAGGAAAAACCGCGAGCGGGCTACCCAACACCATGTTGGTGAGGTACAATTTTTTCATGCTCAGACCGGCTATCAGGTGTTTACTCGCCTGCCTCTTGAGTCGCCCTCAAGTAACATGTAAAGAAGAATCTCCTTCAAAAGTAATGGTGAAAGTCAATCAACCTGAAGAACTGCTCCACTGCCTGATTAAAATAATAAGATACAAAGTGGAAATACATAAATATAATTGATAATTGTTCGGTTCCACGTAAGTGCTTGGCCTCCAGAACGGATTGGTATTCTGGAAGGAAATAAACATAGTGTATACATCTTGTGTACAAAAAACTCTTTTATAATGCATATATGTAAAAGTGTAAGTTTGCTAGAAGTTGGACCCATTGTCAAACCCTATCAAATGTATGACTTTGGGTCTATGAAAACCGCCTTTCATAACCAGGTACGTAACCAAGGGTACATAAGAGTACTCCACAAAATCGGAAAGAATATATGGTTAAGGAGGAAAAAAATTGCGTAGAGTGTGAAGATCAAGTACAGTTGTGTCAAATACTCTTTTGTGGTTTGATTTAGGTATTCATGATATATTGAAGCAATATTTCATCAATTCATCCAAGCAACGAATTGGTCTGCACCTTAGAAGTGTGTAAGTCCTATTATTCATTAGTATTATGAATGATTAATCGGTGTAAGGAAATATTGAAGTCATTTCCTCGTGACCTGATGTGGTTTAATGGCTACCCACCTTCAATACGATGTTTGTGTGACCGAGAAATTATAAAGTTTGAACACCGAAAACACACTTACTTTGATGTATGTTCATTCCATGTTCATCCAGTCTTTTCAACACTGCTCGTACATGCTGCTCGTGTGATTGCAAATCGAGGCTGGCAATTAACAAATCGTCTATCTACCCCTGCGCAAATGGCATATCTCGAAGTAGGTTATCTATGAATCTTTGAAATGTCTGTGCCGCATTTCTCAGGCATAATGGCATGCGTACAAACTCGAATAAGCCAAAAGGTGTAGTAATAGCTGTCTTGGGGATATCTTCATCGGCCACCGGGATATTGT